ACATTCAAGCTTTTAAACTCTATTTGCTATTCTCGGCGAAATTACCGCGGTGACCTTGATAGGTTGCACTGGCGGCAAAGTCAAGTGAGACATTGTGAATTAGTGAGTGTTGCGAAGAGGAAAGTTTTTAACACATGCATATTCTGTTCCCTTCAAAGATCTTCATACCTCCGCACGGTTTAGAAATCTTGTGATGAGTTGCAGCTGACTTCTGCTTCGCTGATATGGTACAAATCGTATAGCATGATAAGTATCAAAGGAACTTTCGAAAGTATGTTACCATAGATGACAACCACCCCTTTCAAGAAATTCCTTTTTGTTAAGTTCTCGGTGCCAACATTAGGACGTACTCTCTTGTACTGTGACCAAACTGTATCATGTCCTTATCCATTAACTCTACATATCGACTCGCATCGATCGAATCTTTGTTCATCATCGTACCATTCGCAGATTCAAGATCGATCAAGTATGGCTTTACTTTCCGAATCTTATCTCCAAATTCGTTCATCTTCTCGGTGGCTTTGAACTGTATGACGGCATGTTGTTTGCTGATACTTGGATGTTCCGCAACTAAATCCACCACGGCACGTTCTCGACCAACAAGCCAGCAACTCTTCGCACTCACATCAATTGTTTCAATAATGTCGGCGCCTTTAAACACAAAAAGTTTCCAGTCGTCTTTAGATGGTGGCTTGCATGCTTCAGGTGGTTCGTGATATTTTAGAACTATAGAATTTCCATCTGCCTGTGTAATTGTATTTGAAGCTGCTGCTAAGACTCCCGTGTGGCCCAAATTCGGCTTCTCTTTTTCTGGTAGCGGTTCGTCACCGGTGGTTACAAGAGCCGTTGAGGATGGATCTTTTTTCGATTGAAACGATGCAGCTTGGGATGGTAGCGGACCGTTCTGTTTTCGCGATGCTACCGACTTCGTGGGTGGTTCCAGCGACCTGGTATTGTCGTTGTCATTTTCATCCTTAATTCGTTTTCGGTCTCGAGATCTATCTCTTCTTCTGCGATGTGAATCTCGGTCATCCTTTCGTCGAGGACTGCGCGATCTTCTGCGCTGTGAATCTCGATTGTCTTTTTGCCGGGAAGAATCTGAATCAACTGGACTACGCGACCTTCTGCGATATCTCACATTATCTTCGTATTTATCTCTCGTGCCTTTAGAACGATCATCATGCCTGTCGGAACGAGTTGATCCACGGTCAGCCTCTCGCTCTCTCCTGCGCCTTCTCCGCCTTCTCTCTGCTTCGGAATCTGTTGAGGGGGACCGAGAATGTCGCCGTGAAGAATAATCCTTCTGACGATTCGAAGTTTCAGGTGAGCTCATATTATTTAATTATTGGAGTGATTGGATTGTGGAAGAAAAATAGAAAAAGAGAAAAAGAGAAAAAGAGACAAAATTAAAGGATAAATAATGAAGAGACCGATAAGTACCTACTAGATGCGAGTGATTGTGGATGTAATTCAAGCTTACCACCATTCTTTGTACGTATCGTCTACCGTATCTTTAATTGGTATGAGCGCCCATAGCTGAACTTCAACCTTTCTGCTCCATACCGAATTCAGATTAGCCGAGATATTCTGACCATGAATCCTTCGGACCTTCAAAATGGAAATTCTCCTGAACACCACCTCGACCACCTAGGCAGGTACTTATCCATATGCCACATCTTGCTTTTCTCTATATCAAGTATATCAAGTTGTCCCCGGAACTGCTAACTCATGTCACTCACTCCATGATATGATACGATGTGATGCGATGTGAAGCGATGTGTTTGTTTGTTTGTGTTTGTTTGTGTTCTCTTGTGTTCTGCAATGTTTGTTTGCTTCTCTTCCTTCACCAACAACAATGATATATAACGCAAGGAAATCCGGTTGATGCAAATCTAACAGTTATACATATACATATGCAGCAAATAGGATCATGTGGACGCCATCGTCCAACCCCAAGGCTTCCTGATCCATCCGGTTCTATTTTCGAAACTCGCGATACATTCATCATTGATGCAAGAACTGTCATTGATGCAAGAACTGTCATTGATGCTTGGTTATTCCATCCTTATACGAAGAATACACTTACGATGTAAGTTAGGGTGCATTGCAGGACTTGAAACTCTCTTCGAAAATCGATTGCAAGGTATCTTTTCTCCGTATTCCAATTCTCTTACTTGATCTCTTTTACTGTTATCATTTGCTTCCAATCGCGTCCTTTTCTCTTCTCTAATATTACTTGTTCTTGCTCTACTTCCGAGTGTTTTTTACTGCGCCGCAAGCGTTGGCTCTCGCGTTTGGTTGGATGTAGTGATGACCAGATAAGCGACCGCCCCCATGGCGGTTACGAAAGTTTTTATGTCTTTTATGATTCGTCTGCATAATTTGAATCGACGCTTTTTTATCGGTTTCAGGTTACTGTGTCAAATCGAGTGGTTCATAATGACTCTTACCATTGAGACACCAGGCCGCAGCAGCGTTGCCGCATACTCGCACACTTGAAATGATTGATCGAGGCTTCCAGCTCGAGTCGAAAAATATAATGTGAGATGGGGTCCAATCCTACAATATTTATATATCTCTTTGACCATGGCCCAGCCTCAGCCCTTAGATCTAAGCCTACCTTGATTACAATTCAATCTTTTCGAGGTCAGTTTTCAACGTGAAAACTCAACTGTCGTTTAAATTTTACGTCGCATGGAAATAATTCCTTAGGCAATTACCCGACCGTATCTTTCCTCGGGTTTCGCGGATGCATTACTTGTACAATATTTTCTCTTGTTAAGCTCGTCTCAAACCTTTGGCATCGAGGGTTACCTCTTGCTTGGGCCAACACTCTTTTCAAAGTCACTTGTGAATACCTCTAAAAAGGGCGTGGAATTATGCCTCATGTTGTCTCTCAAATGCAGCCAAGGGAAAGGCCCCAACAAACGTCTAACTCAAAACGAGCAATGGTCAAGAATGCAATTTCTCAAGATAACCTTCGACCATCTACTACTCCTCGTCGTCGAAATGCAAATGGCCCAACTCCTACCTTGAGTTTGCTCGTTACCCCACAAGGTGCATGGAACTATACACCAGGTCGACAGCATTCAAAACAATTTTCTCCTGATAGAATGACACCTATATCTGCCGTCGATTCTGTTTTTGAATTATCTTCGGCAGCTACAAATGCTTCTCCAAATTCAGCCACATCATCATTTATTGCTGAACTGGAAGATACTTCTCCTGGGGCAGTCAAACCTCACAAAGTCAACATGGAGTCAAAGTCTCCACTCAGTCCTACACGTTCCGTAAGTTCTCTATTGACATGCCATTTTATACTATCAATACTCATTCATATTCTTAGTTACATGCAGCTACTGCCATTGACGCTATCAATGACTTCGAGGCAGAGAATAAGCGTCTTCTTGAGCGGGCTATTGCGGCTGAAAGTGTAGCAAAGTTATTGGAGGAGCAAAATATCGATCTCCGAAGAAAAGTCGACTATTGTATGGAACAACATAGACCAAAGACTGCACCACCTCAGAGAAACTCACAAGACTTACGCAAGCGCAATACTGCATATAGCACAACAACACCTCTATCCGCATTCAACACTATGATGGATCATGTGGAGGCTGAGTATTTACCACCTCCTATTAATGATACACCCACACCATTACCTCGACGAAAATCTTCATTCCCATCAGAATCATTAGTTTCACATCAAGGTGAACTTACGCCGAACAGATTTGGTCCCAGTGGGTTTATTCCCTCGCGGCGGCCTCCTCCAATCCCAGAGGGTAAAAAGATTCCTTCATTAAAAGACCAAAACCGTCGTCGTGATACATTAAAAAAGAACGACGTGAGCACTCCAAAAACAAGACGTTCTAATAGTCGAATGACCAAAATTTCTCTGTCGGATGCAACTCTTAGATCCAAACCATTACCATGGGCTCCATCAGCAATTCCAGGTATGGTTGAAATTGGCAGTACATATGAAGATGCTGCCCCTACGTCTCAATTAAGACCGAAGAAAAGTTTCGCAAAATTCTTTAGAAAGGCGAAGAAGGAATAATCAGTAGCGTTTTTGTCCACAAACTTTCCCTTTGTCAATAATACCAATGGGAATATATCGGGATGTTATATCATACATCTCAGGCGTTTTGGACTTTCAATATGTATATATCTTATGAATAATGACAATGGTATATATGGAGTAATGGGTATTTGGTCGCAGAGTCAGGATTTGACACGGGCTTTCCAGAATAAGGGAATGGTAGTTGAGTAATAATATACTGTTCCTTTCGCATTTGTTATTCATGTGTGTTGAATTTTTCTCGTTCTTTCATCTCTGATTTCTGTTTTTCTTTTTCTCTGTCTCCCTTTTCAGGGGATAGATTGGCAACGTCTTTCGCGGCGAGGCACATTGCATTTGCATGATGTGGGATTAAATCGTACCCCTGCGAATGAGATGCTCTACTCTTCGAAAGTGTTCGATAGCTTGTGGCTTCCTTCAACATACCAAACAAAATAAAGCGATCTATTCCATGAATTCTAATGGAAACGGGGGGTATGAAAGGTAGGAAAGGACCACGAGGATACAAACAGCGGCGAGGAAGAGTGATGAGTTCAATGGGTGTCTGTTCTACTAAGTTGTATCAACACTTCCCATCATTCATTTATGCTTTCACGAAGATAAAGGGTACACCTAATTCATTAGACAAAAAACATAAAACATCCCACTATGCGAGGATCTGCAAAGTTTGAATGACAGGAGATTGATTAGCTATCTTTACAATCCATTTATATCAATTTGTTGATGTATCTAGGTATCTTCTACATCATCGTTTATCACAAACTTTTGTGAACGCTTTCTTTTATCCTTTCCGTCCGTGTTGCCGCACTTTTTCTCTCATCCATGACTTTTATAAACGCCAACTTTCAATCCTTTTGTCTATATGCCCATACTTTTTTTCATTAACTCTTCCATCTAGTAATCCTCCCTTCTTTTCAACCCACTAATAAGCCCAAAAGCTTTCCGAACTAGTCGAACAATTATTGCATTCCTCTCGCGATGGAATGAATCCACTCTCTCTTTTCACTTCCCTATCCTTTCTCCTCGCCTCATCTAGAATCTTCTTATCACCAGCATATTGATCTCGCTCGTCACTCATAATTCTATCAATATCTCCCCAATTCTCATCATCCGGATTCATCTCCCTATCCTTCTTACCCTCATCACCAATATGCGGACCATCTGCTGCCGTTGCCCAAGGTAGACCAACAATCCACGAGGAAGATTCTTGGCCTGGAATTGCCACTGGTGCAGTGGTTGCGTTGGAGATTGTGAGAAAATCGGGGGAAGAGGAGGACTGCGTAATCTCTTGGGGGGATTAAGACGAGGGGGACGAGAGGGACGAGTAGGAGACGCTGCGAATTGTAGACCTGCTTGTTGTTTCGAGGTGGGTGGACGGCGGATGGGTCGGGGCAGGTTGGCCCATTCTACTTTGCGACGGCTAGGTGTGGTTAGGTGGGAGGGCTGGGCGCTTTCCCATTCGGGTTCGCTGGGATGGATATCGGTCGTTTCGGTAAGTTTAGTAGCTTTGACGGGTTTGGTGGGTTTGATAGCTTTGGAAACTTTGGTAGCCTTGATCGCATTGATAGCTTTGGTAGCCTTGGTATCATTGATAGGATTGGTATATTTCCAATTCTCGGTGCTCCTGGATGAAGGAACAGGGCATCGTCCATTCTCCTCATCATCATACGGAGAAGTCTCATCAAACGTACGATAACGAAAGAAAATTCTTCGCGTTATCAATCCTTCAAACTCCCCATATGATTCGTAACTATATCGCTTTTGCAGCTTGGTAACGTGAAGTTTGCAAACGTAGTTGAGGAAGTAGGTGAGGGAGAAGAGTGCGCAGCAAGACATGATGAAGAATAAGGAATAGAGCATGATTCTTGTTGTATCTAAAGTCTCTTTGGGTGCGGAGACTGCGTTCACAGTTTGGTTAAGGAAGAAAGACCTAGCGTAAATTCTTCGGAACTGGGTGGGTAGTGTGGACGCCGAATAGTAGGGTGGTTGAGTTGGTTGTGTCGAATAGGAAGGTAAAAGTGGTGGAGAGACAAACATAGTATTCGAGGAAGTGATGCGTGGCGAGAGGGTGCTATCTGTGAATCTGCCACCGGTAATCATTTTTGTGATCATTTTAAGGATGTTCACGTGGTGGTTAAATGGTGTTCCAATGATGAAGTTTTGGTGGTATCGGAATAGATGATCTTAAGCTATTCAAAAAATATGATAAACATTTATGTGACAACAAGTATATAACGATGAGATGAATATGATATTGTGACGTGTTCAAGATACTCTGATAATATTTTCTGTGTGATGCTTTTTCGTGCGATGTGTAGGAAAATATTTCGAGGGCAGAAATTATTTAAATCCATTTTCATCAAATATTTTTCTCTCAAGGGTTCGATATGAGAATCGAAGTGAACTAATGTTCTAGTTCTCCCTCTAGACATGCGCTAATGTCTGTCAAGCACAATACTAATGACGGGTTACATTGCTTATCTACTATTAGTAACTGAAATTGAAGTCCATACAGTAATTTCAGTGGTTGTAATGATGACATTTAAAAGCTAGTCAGGCTCAGTACATAGTTTATATTTTTGATCGGTAAACTGGGGAAGGACTGTGGGGTAAAAGTCAAACTACTTTCGCTTAGCCCCCCTTTAGTTTTGGAGCGAGTGCTGTTGAAGCCAAGCTAGATCGAACTATATCACGTGATTCGTTTATAGAACGTCTGGCCAGACGTAGTTATCGGGACTTGATTTCGTATATGTGATCTCTCAAAGTTTGATCGGAATTTTATTCCCGGCTCATGGCTAGACAATATCAAGTTCTGTAAGGTGTTTGAATGTTGAATTTGTATGGTTGTCACCGCTATAACTCCAACTACAGTGCTGACTCATTTAACATCCAGCACCTTCCTTGCGACGCTCTATTCCGCTCATCCATATCTTATGACAAGAAACCAGAATCCTTTAAAAGAGGTTGCTGCCGACCTTCATTCCGGCTTTATCTCCAAGTACCATGGTACTGTTAAACTTGTCCCCCATCAAAAAATCCCAGCCAAGGGGTTCCAAGACAAAAATCAAATAACCCAAAACCCAATTTTCAAATCTCAAAGCCCAACTCCAAAACCCCGATCCCCGATCTCTGATGTTGTTGAAACCGAAAGAACGCATATTTGATTCATTAGTAGAGACGTTTCGTGGAACCACAACCGCGCGCTTGTGTTTTGAAGGCCAAAGAAAAAGTTAAAGAGATCAGTCCAATACTCTGCCAATTTTAGGGGTGAAAATTCTTTCATGATATCAGAATCATTCGTTTGAATTGAAGTGAAGGGCCTCAACATACCTTGAAAAATTCTAGGCCCAACAATCGACCCATTGGCTGCATCTAATCGCAAGCAAAATCTTATATTTGAGGATATATGGTACAAAAACTCTCAATTATCAAAACCGTAGAAACCACTTGATGGCTCCACATTCATAAAATAGTCTATTCAATGTCAGTGATATAGTTCTGTAGAAATGTGAAAATTTTTGACCTTTCAATAAATTCGTACCGCTACTCTACAGTACAACCATAATGTTCAAACACCTTTCAGCACTGTTACAGTACAGCTTTTTGAAAGTCTAGTAGCTCATTCCATGATAGTTCCATGATACTCCAGATTCTCGAGTGCAGTCAGACGGAGATCTCGGAGTCTTAAAAGTTCAAAATATGGCTTCAATGACTTATCTTCAATATCCTCGGCAACTGAAGGCTCCAGTCCAGCCTGGACTTTCCTCCAATACATATCGTCTGTGACTTGGAAATCCTGGTCTATCCAAGCTTCGATAAAGTCACAGTCCATTTTGCCACCCAATCTGGTAAAAACCCTCGCGAGTCTTTGTTCGAACTCCCGATATTTGTACTCTTCTTCGAGCTCGCGAGCCAGACGTAATTGAAAGCTGGCATGCTTATAGCCAACCACAAATTGAGGGCGCCATCCATTAAATTCAATTGAACAATACATCATTTCTTCGAAGTCCTCTCCCAACGATTTGAAACTAATAAGATGTTCGAGTACGGTTAGAGTGAGTAGCATTGCCTCGAGGACTGTATCAAAGTAAATCATAGAACCTCCCCAAATAATTAAAGAGGCTTCATATAAAAACAAACTCATCGTTACAGATAAGTATAACAAGAATATTCGATATTGATGGCAACCCCTCCAACCCTTTGATCGGTAGTAGATGTACTGGATGAATTCAGAAATTATCCAGAAAATCACAAAAGACAAAATGTAAATTAAATGACCCGCTATTATGAATATTGTTCTGTAGAAATTTTCGCTAAAACACGAATTATGTCGTTGGCACATGATTGTCGAGAATTAATTATTTGAAGATGAGATGGATACCTTGAGATTATACAAGAGTGAAGAATGATCTGGCTTTTTGATGTATAATAACTATAATCAAGGCTAAGTCTCATGTGACGAATTGCTCTAAATGCCTGTAACTAACGCTTTTACTGGGTAGTGAATATGCTAGACATTATCTTCTAAAGTTTAAAGTGTTATTTTGAAATTTTTGATGCCAAGTGTTGTACTAATTTTGAGTAAAGGACAGTTCTTGTAATCTATCATCTTCATCAGTCTCATATCTACCACTAGAATTGACCATATTCTCAAGACTACAGGCAGTATATGTTAAGGACTCCTCAAAAATTGTATAGTTTTCAATGATCGACATTGAACTGCTCAATTCCAGATAATTAGCCTGAAGTCACAGAAATCCCAGCGCCGCATGATTGACTTGCACAATGAGAGAGATAGCTTCTGCAACTTCCACTCCGGCGAGTAACAATAATAGCCGCTGTGTCTTCTCTATATTTGAATCTCGTACAAAGACTTGGCAATTGAGAGCCTTTGAGAAGTGGGAATTCAAAATTACTGCCAACATTACACAGATTCTCGGCTAGGAAACCCAGTTTGAGTTCATCATGATTACACGTCATTCTTAATTCTTAATTTTTTTATTTAAAAAAAGAGCAAAAAATATATAGTTGGCCAACGATGCCCTATATTAGAAGTTAGAACCAGTGCAAATTCTTTCTCTTTGAATGATGACTTTTTTGATCACCATCGAAATCGTAATTTTGAATCACTTCAATTTCAAGGCAATTAAATAATCCTCAATCATCCAATCTCGTACGTATTCCCCCCATCCGAACCATGAGAAGGTCTAATCATTGAAAGTTCGAGTTTCAGAATGTCACCATTACCAGATATTACTGAGATTACAGGGCCTATCATAAATGGCACTGATATTACACAAGTTGAACTCACAATTATGGAAACGATTATATTTGGCTTCTTCGCCCCATTAGGAATTATATGTATGATTTTTATCATTACCTCGTGGATTGCGATACTCATTATCTCCATTTATGAAACAATAAATGATTGGAGACGTGGTTCATTGGATGCAAGCGAGAGAAGACCAATGTCGAAACCGACGAACATATATCTCAATTCAGTTAATGAGAGTGCGAGAAACTCACTTTTGGATGTCAAGAAATGGTCGGAACACGCGATCAAGGGAGTTGAATTTTTCAGCAAGAATGACTTGCCAAATTACGGAACGATAACGTGGATGTCAAGAGATGAGATTGATGCTCTTCAAAGAAGCAGAGCAGTATCTAAAGAAATGATGGGGATGTCCTTAGGAGATGATCAAGTATAGAGACCTGGATCTTTGAGGGCGCGATAACGAGATTAGATGAAGATGTTTTGGTTCAGAGTCAGGACTGGTTCAAGAGGAAGAGATTTGACAAAAACTTAGTGAGAAGAAAAGTTTGGAGTCATTGAAATCTGGAAGACTGTCATTTGATTTCAATATTTAAATAGTATGAAGAGTCTTAAATGTAACATTATACAGAGATCGCTTTGTACAACATTTCACTAAGTCTCAGGATGTCAAATCTATATTGTGCTCTATCAAAAGTATGGGAATGCGTATTATTACTGAAGACATGTCTCATCATACTGAATATTCTTTGGATAGAGGCCGAAAAACTTTTAAAAATGATCTACTAACGTAATTTATTGTATCATGTCATATTGATACTTACTTCCCTCACTTCTGAAAGTTCATGAATCTTGCACCGACTGTATTTCCAGATTTGCAAGGACTAGATGGCTGTATTTGCAAATTTCTGTTATCCGAATGTCATCGTTTCCTTTTAGATAATCACTACAGACTTTAGCTTTGTAGATCTGTACAAATTTACCCGAACAAGTCAATAGCGTTTATCGAGGGCCAATGTCAGAATTTTCAATGTTAAGAGTTTTGAAAGTGTTATTAGTGTAAATTTATTCTTGATCTTCTCAATCTGCCACATTTCGCTTCCAATGACAACATTTCTTCTCGCATACCACCCGTTTGTGGGAAGACTCTAAACCTAGATGTTAGTCTCAACAATATTTAACCAAGATTCATGTCGACGATCTACATGGGCCAATTGCCAAGCTTTGAACTCAAATATTTGTCATGCTTCAAGAATCATAGATACTTGTGACTAGAGAACATGTATATATTGCGTTGTGTCTGTAACTAAAGTTCTTGACTTCCAGAAAAACAAATCATCCCATTCTAATCAACGAAAAGTACCAAGTCTACAGCAAGATTATAATGCCTGCGCTACTCAATTTTCACCAAACACAATTGGATCCTATTACCGAACCCGTTCTCGACATCATCAAAGCAGTCAGATATGGACACGGACAGATACCCAGAACCTCTCCAACCGCGATATTTATGTATGGACTCGCAAGTGGGCTAATCATCATGACATCCATTATCGGTCTTCTCTTGGTATTATTCGATCGAATTCTCCGTAAGGAAAATGTGAAAACCATAAGATTTGGTCCTCACTTCCCTGAATCGCAAGGAGGGGACAAATTCTTCCTCGAGCAGAAAAATGGTACGATCTACGAGGGTATTGTGACTTTTAATGAGTCACATTACTACGAGATCAGAAGTGATGAGGCGATAGATCAGGAGTCAGTTATCATTCCTTCCTCTAAGTTAGAGCAGGCGGAGATAGAGGACGATCGGAAAAAAGCAAAGAGAGAAATGAGAAAGGTCGAAGAGGAACACGAGTACCAAGCTTTTATGGGTAGATTTTCTATTGAAAACTTTGCTACTTTTATGGATGCTAATGTTGATAATGATGAAATTGAAGAAGGTGAGGATGAGGATGATGATGAGGATTCCACAACATAGATGGTACTCGATCGGATTCTTTGACCATTTTTGGGAGATATCAAAGTGGATAGTGGAATGCATTGTGACATTTGGCACGAGCTCTGATTATTGTCAAGATCTGGGGATCGGGTGAAGAATTAAATGACTTGGACACTGTTTTGATTGATAAGGATTAATGGAAGGTGGAGTCGAACGGATTCTGGATAGTGGTGTTGTATTATTGGGTGCGCCGACGAGAGTGGGGATTACATGACAGGGAATGGAGGAGCTGAAGTTGAGGTGGAAAGCAGAAATTCACCAGAAACTCACCAGTGTGTCGAGCAGTTTTAATTGGAGACAATCAAAATGTATAATCATAATGTATAATCAAAGAATATTATGCGAGAGTTGTGAACCCAACACCGGTCCCAATGCTTGGATATATGTAACGAATATCGAGTAATCTGCATCTTTCAATCATCTTCAAATCTACCCCACCAGAGTTTACGGCTACTACAAGTGATCCTTCAAATTTTCTATGGCGACCGAGACTACGAAGACGGAGGGTGAAGGTCGTAGCGAAACAGGCGAAATGAAACAGAAAACTAAGGCCAGACAAGCAATGACTTCGATGATGCAATTAACACGATATCTGGAAGCGACAGGCGAGAGTGGATAGTAAGAAAAAAGAGAGATATGCGGACATATCAGCTATCAATGATTAGTAAAGTGTTTGATAAACAATAGGGTTGAAAGACAAACACCTGGCAGGCAAAATTTTAGCTACTTCAACGCAAAAATACTAAAGTAAGTTGCAACCGACAACTTTCCAGATCAGTATCATGATCTTGCGGCGTCCCCTTTTCTGAAGAAATGATTCATTGGAATGTCGTACCGCTCATCCTCACGGTATACAGACGATCGAACTTGAAGAAGAAGAGATACCACACAAGATCATTACTTAATAGGCTGAATGTTATAGACGCAATAAATCTAGTGCCTATACCTCCCCGTCCAAAACATCGAATAAGCGAGTCGGTTGACTTGTGGTTTCATGCACCACGATCAAGTCTCAAATCACATAATTCTTCCTCGCATCTTCAAAAACAGTAATCCATTTACCTTTTGCATCAAGAACGCTTTGTGGAAGTGTTAAGTCTAAGATTTGGGTCTTTCTATTATGTATGAAAGACATAGAATGATCTCTGGCTACAGGGTCGCTAGTTTTCTCAATGCCAAAATCCAAGCACCTCCACAGTACTTGACGTACGTTAAGATGTCGATTGCTCAGACTATGCCATTTCCTTTATTTCTTGGATATCGACCCGGAATTGAACAAGGCCTGGAGTTTTGTTGAAGGTAGGATGAACAAAAGCAGTGATGGTACGCAAAATACAATGCTCAATCATTAGCAGCCTTATCTTGGAATGCAGAGTTTCCCTTTGAGAAAATACTTAGAAAACATAGTTTTATTTTGCTTATTCAACGTTTTTAGTGTTTTCATGTTTATCCAGACAATCAATTACAGAACACAAGCATACAAGCAACATTCGTAGCTTCCCCAAATAATGTCCATATCTATCTGTTTTCCTAATCTTCTCGATCCTCTGCTTCCTCCAGAGCTACTTTTGAGTCGTACCTTCTCCATATCAACCGCCAAAATTGCTCTCAATCTCAGAAAGAAAAATATCTCTTACATTTTTTCATCATCATCATCATCATCATCATATCATATCACATCACCGATTTTATCCCACAAACTTAGGTATCTCGATTTTTGGTTATTAGCATACTATACATACAATATATATTTGCAAAATATATCACCATCCCTCCGTGTCGGCAAGAGAAACGCAAAAAATCCCGTGTTGATTTTCTATACCAGGGGAACCATCCCAGGACACTCGGAGAAGGGTCACAACAGCACGAAATGCATCCTCTATTTCAAAGGTACTTTGGACAGAGTTTAGCCAATGAAGACTCAAAGCAAAACCTCCCTGCAAACCCCAATTCCAAGAGCCCACAGCGCAATCCAAATGCGGGACCGAACTTTTCGCAGCCTACAAGAGTCCATCCTAGATCAGAATATCTGTCTAATCAGGTTCATCCTATGATAGAAAATGGCTGGAATGGAGGTCAACCAATGGAATTTAATGACTCGAAGCCATACTATTCGAACCTAGAAAGCCAATATCTAGGCACAAATTCACCTGTTACTATCGAAAAGAACGGACCGAGTTCTCAGCAAGGACCTGAAGCTCTCAAAGATCAATCAAAATTCAATGCTCGATTCCAACAACTTGACGTAAATTCTAGTCAATTTTCGCCTCAAGCCACAACAGCCAATGCTCCGACACCATACCAACTACATCAATGGGTCAATGGAAGTTTAAACACATTTGTCCCCATTGCAGTAAATGACTTGAATCCTCAGCGGGCGCAGGGAGAGTTCGATAATGGACTGGGATTCAGTCATTTAGACTTCAATCTTGTCTATACCCCACAATGCACAATACCACTATCTGAGCTGCATGTTCAGTTGACTTCAATTGCCCGTGAGATCAAGCTAAGAAATGTGGAGAGTATAAATGCAGCTTCAGAACATATGAAACCTCAGGGAAACGAAGAATTCTTTATGCTCTATCTTGTACGTAACATCTCTTATGCTCCAGACCTTTGCTTCTTAATCTAATCTGCAAAAGGTTGTTTTAGGGCAGTATATCCTACAAGGTGGGTCCGCTTGGTATACCAACCTTCCTCCTCCAGCCCCCAAATTGCTCATGTCACCCCGGGCCACAAAATCACTTTCTTCGAGTCCTATCCCATTTAAGCTGGAAAAAGTCAAGAGAGAGAGCAAAACAAATGATAGAGTTGATGAAAACAAATGCGCTCCTAAGAAAGTAAATCCAATTGACACTACAAACTGGGACACTGTTCTTCGTGATCCGGTCTTCTTTGAGCTCGAAGACGTAGATCATTCTGTTCCTCTGGACTCTGAAGGTATTCTCCTTGAACCAGAATATTTTGAGATCTATTCGGAGTACTCTACTAGTTCTTCAATACATGATGGAGGTTTTTTTTCTTCGTCTCCTTCCCCAGGGCCTGGAAACTCGAATACTCTTCTCTCAACATCCTCCATGCGAGTCCGCCCTCTTTCACCTTGTGCACCGGTATTTGTCCCCGCCAGCGAAAGTAACCAAACAGTTTCAAGTGTTGATGGCGATCATGAACCACTGGAGTCTCCAGACAATAAAGTCTTATCAAAGAGTCATTCTGAACCAACAAAAGCTAGAACTCCACGTGTAAAGTCTGTTTCATTTGTGGATGAGAAGATGCTTACAGACCCTTTTATCACCAATAACTCATCAAATACAACCACTCCATCCGTTGGCTCCCTTCAGCGAACTCGATCTTACTTATCGACTCCGCCAACTCCTATTAGTCCTTTCCTTCAAGCTAGCCCATCCGCTTTTGGCAGTCCATCCCCTAGAGAACTATTTGTTGCTCAAGGACCATTACAAATCCCTGGTAACATCTGTTTCATCCGTACGAATCCTGGCTCAGGAATAAGGGTCTGTGTCTTTCCAGAAAATACCTGGGTTGATCTTCCCCAGATAGGGATTCACCACTGTAATGAAGATTTACCAGAAATGTCAGTACATGTTACTCCTACCACGAGCAGACTAACAGCTAACTTTCATGTAGACATTATGTGATGGGTTCTGCAAGCTGGTTCTACACACAAAATTGGGTTCCGATATTATATCAAGAGATTCTTACTTATAATTCATTGAAAAGGTTTGAGGAACTTAGAACGGCGCCAACGCAGTCTGCACCCGAACCATACACTATACCAACTGGATATGTAGACATGTACGGAAGACCGACCTTTTTTCAAGCATGTAACTCTAGGCCTGAATCTAAAGCAGTATCGTGCCCTAGTGGCGACGACTTGGGTGTCAACTGGAATGCGACACTAGCCGAAAGAATGAGGATTAGATTAACCAAGGTAAGACAAATGTGGGAAGAATGGCAAGAAGGAGCTCGGGATGTAAGATTCCTTTGGCATCTTTGGAAGCGATGGGGCCGGATAAAGGGATGGACAGAGAAAAAAAATGGATGCGGGGATAATGCAAAGGCAGAAGAGATGGATATGACGGATCATTATCAATTGATGATGATAGTGATGTTCACGTCTAGACAAGGATTTGACACCAAACAAATTAGCTTTGAGGACAAGAAGAATATTTTGGATGGAAGATCGATTGAGCAATTTAACAAGGATTGGGAAGAGAGACAAAGAAAATTTGGCAGTTCGAATTGGTTGGAATGAGAAAATATGGAGGTCTTGAAGTAACGAATGACTACACAGCGATAATATAATGTAATTTCAGCGAAACAATCGATAGAGATTAGCATATGGATCAATATCTGAATTGTGCCGTTCCTCATAACGCACATTGAGCATCATATTCTCCTGATTTCACATGAGTTACATCGCGACTATTGTGCTGCCCTAGGATATTTAGAGTTGCTGTGTGAATTGATCAGCACAAAAATAGATGATGACATTTAAGACTCCAGACTTTGTGGGCACGTGCAATTAGCAGCAAAGGAAGCAGGTAGACTCACCACTTCCCACACCCTCATACTTCCTCCACCCCAATTTTTCAAGTCCACTCAAAGGATCCTTCGCGAACTCAATCAAAGTTCTCATCATCTCCTTACTCAATCTTTCTTCACCTCTCGTATTGGAAATACCACTTACATCTCTGCCCACACCATGCCACATATTCAAATCACTCAAATGATACGCACCACTTGTTGGATAAAGGCGCGTGTTATCGAAATCTCCAAAATATCGATATAGATAAACAGTGACATTATGCTTCAAGCGTAAGAGGGCAGACTGAGCAGCGGAGCAAGTAAATGTTTTGAGGTCGAAGAGATCCCACTGAGAGCGGCTGAAAGTGATGTTTTGGGCAAAAGCGGAGATGGCGTAGAAGCCTGATTCGTGATTCGCGTTGCCTACTAGGTATGGCAGTTTAGAGAATCTTCCAGCGTTGGCTCGGGTAGCATAGTCTGAAAACACAATCTTCTCGTCAATTGTTGGTACGAATTGTGTTCGTGGTAGAAATTCGGTAGGCGTGAGAGGTAAACTTTTGATGGCAGCCAAGATGGTTTGATATGGTGCCTCCTGCATACAGCTCACAACATCTTCTTCGACGCCACTCTTGCATCCAACTAGAACGGAAAGCTTATCCCAATATGACTTGCTCAATTCTGGACTATTAGGTTCGTCATTGATAGTTCCGGATATAGACATGAATGAAGAAGCAATCGGATCATCTGGCCAGGCAAATGCATGGTAATGAATAGATAGTCCACCAACTGATTGTCCGTACATGAGAATTTTGGATGGGTCTCCTCCGAATGATGCAATGTTTGCTTTGACCCATTCGAGGGCGAGTCGTTGATCCAAGATTGCTAGGTTGGCGCTGGGTAATAATGGTGAGCCTGGGAATCCAAACACGAGCAGTCGGTAGCTAATATACTTTAGTTCGTCATTTAAATGATTTGGAAGAAAAGAGTATATACTCAATAGTCACAACAACAATATCGCCAGTGGCAGCAAGATAATGTCCTTCATACAATGCGTTGTTGGTACTGCCGGACACAAATCTCCCTCCGTGAATGAAAAATATAACTGGCTTGAGCCCTTTTGGTGATATAGATGAAGTCCATATATTGAGCGCCAGACAGTCTTCACTGAATTCAAGACCCGTTCCACCAGTAGCTGTTGCATATATGCGGTCGAATGTGGAAGATTTGTTGGGGAAGGTGGGGAGAGGTGGAGCGGGGTTAAAGGGACAAGCTCTTGGGAGTGATGTTAGGTGGGGACTCAATTGCATTGAACTATTTAGTGGAGTATGATCCATCATAGATGCCCCAAAGAATCCGCTCGCTAATTTGATGTTCTTGACACAAACATAAGGCCCAAAGAGAGCAAAACCTACGGTGAATATTGTGAAGCTTTGTACGTATCAGAGGAAATGAATGGAACCGGAGGCCGGAATCTTAACGAGCCATTGGTTGCCTGAGCATATCGAATGCCTAGGAATTCAACAACATCACTTTCGTTTCTTGCAGAATGTCCAATGACTACTCCACTTGTCGTTTGCACACGAGGGATCGCAGTTCCACTGAAGCCAATGGCTGACGAGACAAGAGACGCAAAGAGAAATATCCAGTTAGAGGTAATGTCCTTCATATTGGTGAGCTCATGTGTAGAATCATATGTGACATCTCGTCGATATTGTATGCCATTTCGTGAAGTCTACAAGAGGGTAGCGAAGGTATGTTGATGGTAGGGTATGTAACACAGAGGATGCGGGGTTGATATCAATATCTGGATAATCCGGATAAACCCCGGAGAAGATCAGATAACAGGGGTTCGGTAAGACCCCACTCAACCTGATCGGTACTTTCGATTGATTCCTTGGCATCAAACATACTCTTTATAGATATCCTGATTTTCATGAGACAAACGTTTTTTCAATAATTCTTTAGCATGTCTTCGACTGTGCCTCCTTTCTGCAGACTCCCAGCAACCGTTCTACGCAGAAGACATAAAATGGCAACGTATCAAAGAAATCTCAGCCCCCGTTTATCGCGATCATCCCCTGCTCGAAACACTACCAACCAATAAAAGCATCATTTTTCCCCGATTCGGAAATTAACCCTGTATTCAGCGCACCACTTAAGGGTAGCATTTTTGCTAGTTGATGATCTACGGTAAAAATATGCACCATAAATGATGAAACTGGCACTTTTGAAAATCACGAAGAGTCCCGACCGTTTTGCTTCATATTGTTTGTTGTTAATTATTATCCGTTATCTATTCCTTGGCATGAACGGTCGGACTGGATCGATGCAGACGACGTGTATGAATGCATGAATGGAGTGTGTTCCGATTGAAAAGTGCTTGAAAGAAATTGGAGAGAGATGGCGATTTTGAGTGTGATTGCTGAAGGGTTGAGGTTGGAATTCAAGAGGGAATTGGTAAGGTCTCATCAAGCCTCTAAATTTTCCGCTCCGGCAACAGTCTTTACTAATATTTGATTGTTCTTTTGTTTTCTAGAACCAGAGTTCTGATCCAAGAGTTGGTTCTTCAAGAGACAATTCCACAAGTTCGACCTTAGCAGCTGCAGCATCGGGGTCCAATTCCTCGTCATTCTCTGCACTGTTTTCCACTTTAATACCCGTGGGCGTATTCGCTGCAGTCTGCACCATCTCATTTCTGGTGTTACGCAGGAAATATCCGAGAGTATATTCACCACGGACTTTCTTGAGCAGTTTAGATCCTCAGTGAGTTAGATGCGATTAATGACAAAAGATTAAACTGACGTCAGAATAGTGAACGAAGTAAGGAATTACCATCTGGATATTTCAATTGGATCAGACCCTTTTTCAATACCCCAGATGAAGCGGTTCTCAATCAGTCATCGCTAGATGGGTACTTATTCCTCCGATTCCTCAAGATTATGTGTGTAATATGTCTTGTAGGATGTGGACTTGTATTCCCCGTCTTGATACCTTTGCATATACTTGGAGGTGCCGGTAATGAACAACTTGATCAATTGACATTTGGAAATGTTGACAACCCCAGGATTTACTATGTACACGCGTTTCTGGCATGGCTCTTCTTCGGTGGGTATAATTTTCCAAATGCATGAACTTTACTAATGTATAGTTAGGATTTATCATGTATACTGTCTCACGAGAGTGTGTTTATTATATTAATCTCCGTCAAGCGTATCTTCTTCATCCGTATTATGCTAAGCGCCTGTCATCGAAGACCGTTCTATTCACGTGCGTTCCACAACAGAATTTGGAGGAGGCGAAATTACGGAAGGTATTTGGCGATTCTGTCAAGCATGTTTGGATCCCAAGAGAAACCCGAGAACTGCAGGATTTGGTGGATGAAAGAAATCAAACTGCTTATCGACTGGAAAGGGCCGAGACAGCATTAATAAAGCTTGCGAATAAAGAAAGAAATCGAGCACTCAAACATGGCCATCCAGATCTTGAATCGAGCATTGGTATCAATTCTGTTCAAGAGACAAAGCGGGGATCTTCAGCAACCGAGAATCGTAGACCAAGCTTAATTAGAAGTCCAGCTGATGCAAATCCCACGGACATCGAGATTTCGGAAGATCCTATGTCACCTACAGATACACTAGTAGGGTCAAATTCCAGTCCAATCAGTGGAAAGGAAAAGGAAGCCAGGGTGACCGAGAAAGCAATGTCCCAAACAAATTCTCAAGCAACCACGGACGAAAATCCCACAACCCCGACTTTGAAATGGGGAGATAATGGATACGGAATGTCTGGGCCTCCTCCTGGAGTAAGTGGATCAATTGCAGCACAATGGATTCCCCACAGCTGGAGACCAACGCATCGACCCTTATCAAATTATGGAAGAAGCGTAGATACTATCAAATGGACACGAGCTCGACTGAAGGAAATCGCACCACAGATCAACAAGCTGAGAAGAATGCATCGACAGGGAAAAGTAAAGCCATTACCCGCCGCGTTTATTGAATTCGATACTCAAGTCAACGCTCAATCCGCCTACCAAACATTATCTCATCATCGAGCATTTCACATGACACCACATATCAATGGAATTCGACCACACGAGATCGTATGGGAATCGCTTCGCATGAGATGGTGGGAACGTATCATGCGTAATTTCGCGATCCAAGGTTTCGTGGCATGTATGGTCATATTTTGGTCCATTCCTTGTGCATTGATAGGAATAGTATCCAACATCAATTTTTTAACCACCAAAATCCCATTCTTAGGTTGGATTGACAAGCTTCCATCTTCAATCCTCGGTTTGCTCACGGGCTTATTGCCAGCTCTAGCTTTGACATTTCTTATGGCATTAGTTCCAGTCATTTTACGACATTGTGCGCGTCAAGCTGGAATCCCGTCTTATTCGATGATCGAGCTCTACACACAATCCAATTACTTTATATTCCAAGTTGTGCAAGTGTTTCTTGTCACAACTATCACTTCGGCCGCATCTGCAGCATTCGAAAAAATCATACAGGATCCAACTTCTGTGCGCTCACTGCTTTCGCAAAATCTACCTAAATCATCAAACTTTTACGTCTCGTATTTCATCCTCCAGGGTCTCGCCATGTCCGCAACGAGATTATTGCAACTGCCTGCTTTGATTCGTCACCTGATGTTCCAGAATGAGCAAAATCCAAGACTGATCATCAACAAATGGCACCGAATCCGAATTGTCCATTGGGGAGCTGTTTATCCTGTGTTCACAAATATGGGCGTCATAGCTATTACATATTCGCTAATAAGTCCACTGACAATCGTATTCGCACTCGTGGGTTTATATCTCATATATCTCGTATCAAAATACAACCTTCTCTACACCTATTCCTCTGAGATATCTACACGAGGACTGCTGTATCCACATGCTCTTAAACAACTGCTTACAGGTGTATATCTTGCGGAAATCTGTCTCATCGGTCTTTTCGGATTACGAAGCGCATTTGGGCCGTTAGTAATCATGTTCGGATTAACAATCTTCACAGCATTGATCCATATAAGTCTCAACGAAGCACTCGGACCACTCCTCTGGAATCTTCCTCGAACCCTTGCTGTGGAGGAATTATATCGCGGACTTGCATTTAATTCCGATTTGCAAACACCCATGCCGACTATGAATCGAAGCAACACCCATAACGAAAATGAAAACGGAGATTCATTTTTCCCTATGCAGACGCCTGAACAAACCCAATCCCAGCCAGCAGTATCAACATACATAAGCCACCGCATATCCACAGCACCAGATCCACACCCCACCATCTCAGAAGAGAACGAACCCGAACCCGAAAACCACAAAAACTCTAATACATCCCCGCACGACGACTCCGACTCCGAGAAAGAAGACGAAGACGAAAATGAAAACGACCTCCACGATCTCAACCCCCAAACCCGCTCTGCAGCCAAACGCATAGAAGGGCTCCCCCACCTCTCAAAATTAACCATCACCTTCCTCCTACAGGCCCTGAAATCCAAAATCCAACCGCACCTCCACCACCTAACCCCCTATCTAACCTACCTCACCCCGCTCATCTCCCCCGTCTACAACCCCTCCTCCCCACCCAACTTCTTCATCAAATTCCTGCACCCAGAAATATTCTCCGACTACCATATTCTGCGCTCCCTAACCGCTTCTTTACCGCTTATGCCCTCCGGTTTTGAGTATACGCAAAAACAGCACGAGGATGCGTATTTCCCGCCCTGTGTGGCGAGAGGTCGAGATCCAAAATTGTGGATTCCGAGGGATGAGGCGGGGGTGAGTAGACAGGAGTGTGAGCATGTGAGGAAGTTGGCGGGGATGGAGTGTAGTGATGAGGGGGTGGAGTTGAGGTTTGAAAATGAGGAAGAGGGAGGAGAAAAGGGAAAAGGGAGATGGGGGAAGAAGAAGGAGGGGACAGTCGTGGTGAAGGATTTGCAGGCGGAGAATTGTATTTGGGTGAGGGAAACGAAGTTTTAGATTCGAGGGATTGGGACCACCAGTAGGTATACGGACTGACGGGACACTACAAAAATGGACTTGTCAATATCTCTTGATATATCGAATTATATATCTCGAAAATTGTTACAATCATTCATGAGATATGAAACAATCAAACCGTAAGTGTTCATATTAAACAGTTAAAGAATAATTTTATTAAGAATTTCGTTGGTTGAGAATTGTCCCGTCAATCCATGCACCCACTCACTGGCGGACTCGGGAGTGGGCACTGGTTATGAAAAGGAGAGTTTCATGAATGTGATGATCATGATTCGGAATTTTGGTTGGTTTGGCGTAATTTTGGATGCATGATAGAATCAAAAAGCGTTGTAGTTAGTACATAAGGAAACATAATTTAATTCAATTTTGAGATCAAGTTAATGATACCTTTCTTATTTAAATACTTTCAAATACCTAATCTTAGGTTGTACTGACAAGCTTTTCTAATTTCACTAAGCAACTGTTAGATCAAAGTGACCTTCCTGCACTGCGCAGAACATCCAGACTTAAATCATGCACCATAGCTTCAAGATCTCAAATCACCTAACACTTGAATTCCTTCACGCCTAATGGAAATAAGCACCAGCTACCGCTTTAGTCTTAGCCCACGCCTTATCCAATGCTTCAAGAATCTCCTTCGACAATGGTCCTTTCTCCAGATCCACCAAATTTTCTCTTAAATGTTTCTCGCTGCTTGCTCCAATAATAATCTTGTCCTCTCTCTCCGCCTCAAGTCCGCTATGATGTACCAACCATCTCAATGCACATTCGCTCTCCGTTGATCCCTCCTTCTTCGCCGCTTCTCTGATGATATCCAACGCGTCAAACATGGTATCATTCCAGTATCTTTGCCTATACATTTTACCCTGCAAATGCGAATCATCGAAACGAGAGGTTGCTTCGACGGATTCCTGGTTGCGATGGTAGCGTGAAGTGAGGTAGCCGCCGGCGATAGGGTTGAAGGCGTAGAAAGACATGTTGTATTTATGAAGACAGGGAAGGAGCTCTGGTTCGATGGAGCGCTGAATGGTATTGTATACACCTTGGTATACTGAAGGACAAATCCACTTTTTGAGTGTTAGTTTTGTATTTTCCTAAGATTGAGTGACTATTGAAGGGACTTACGTTATTTTTGATGCAAATTTCTTGAATGTGTGCAACCTCCCAAGACATGTAATTACTAACACCCAACCTACTAAATTTTCCTTCCTTGTACAAAACATCGCACATGGCAAATGTCTCCTCGTAAGAAACGCTTCTATCTGGTCCATGTAGATAAAAAAGATCGACTTTTTCAACACCTAAGGCTTTCAAACTTTTGTCCAAGTGAAGTCTGAGATCATCCGCTGAATGCGTGATCTTGAACCCAGTCATGTTGTTAGGATAGAGTTTGGTAGCCATAATGATACCACGGTCAGTGTATGAGGGTTGAAGTTGGCCCAGATACTCTTCTGATGAACCCAGGCCGTAGACGCGGGCAGTGTCTATTTCATTGTGACCATGTGACTGAAAGATATCAATCATAGAAGAGACATCTTTAAGATCATGGACTCGGGTTTGCATGACGCCTTGATGAGTTTAGTTCCAGAACATTGCAATTCCGGAGCGAAACGACTTACCAGGCTTCCCGAATGTCATTGCACCCAAGACAATGGGTATCTTAGTCTTTGCTTGTGTTTCTACACCCATGTTTGCTGATAGTACCTGTAGTCTTGTGTAAATATGGAGACTGAAGATGAAACCTGTGTTGAACTTCGTCTAGAGATTTGGAGGAAAGCCGAATTGATTCTTTTGTAGGCTTGGTTCGAGATGCGAGTTGAAAGATGGTCAATTGAGATTAAAATGGGGAGTTTAAAAAGTCTTTATATATGTCTCCTCAGTATCAGTCAACAAATGAGGAGTTTATTATTTAATTATTTGTATGTTGTCCCCCATCTGGCGATAACGGATTTTACATGCAACTTTGGTGGAGCTGGTGGAGTTAAGACTTTCGGCCGATGAAAGAGATCGACCGCTTTGTTACCGAAAACAGTACGGATGTAACTCGAAAAATGACATTTCGATGATGTAAGCTAGCATCCATCGAACTTTTCTCCTGCATCTAGAGCTACAGCATATATTGAAAATATGGATTCTCCCTGTCGGTTAAATCCTGAAATGCCATTTTGTCCCTGCTCACTTGATCTAATCTGCAAGATGTCAGTCAGCACGATTTGATACAGATTGGCATGAGAGGACAGCAAGATATATGGAGTAGAAGTTTGCAAAGTGGCCTGCCAATTCAATACGACGAACGTGAAAGTATCCTGACAACGTTGAGTTAGATAAAAGTGGTGTAGACTTACTCCATTAATGCTCTCTTGCGGTTTTCTCTAGTCAGCACAGCATACAACACCACTGCTGCTATAATTGTAATGCAATAACTATCTAGCGTCAGTAATCTCACCATCTCTATTCATTTAATTTGTAACTTACCAAATGATTAATCCTAACCAGAGTTCTGGATAATGTCTCGACTTCGTTTGTGATATGATCAATTGAGGTCCTACGATATTACCAACACAATATGCCACAAAAATAGTCGCTGCCATGAAACACTTTTTGGTTTGACCTGCGACATTGGCCATACCAATCGTGATGATCAAGCTCACTACAGGACCAAAAAATCCAATTATAGTATACCCGACAACTGGTGTAGCTGCATGATGATGCCAAGAACTCTTCCATATCATTGCACATCCAGCGATGACTGGCAGACAACAAATAACGAGGAGGATGATTCGTATATTTGGAATATGTGATGAAAGATAACCAGTGAGTAAGATGAAGATCAAACATATTGCCCCAAGAGGGAATTGGAATAGAATAGAATCTAGGGTCGAATACCCAAAAGTAGAAACGATGAGAGGACCAAAACCACTGACTGCTCCGTTGACAGTGTAAGCGGAAGCCATCATGATAGCGACGAGCCATACTTTGATATCAAGCAAAGATTCCTTGATCTGATACCACTTGAACTTTGTACAGCGAATTCCGGTTTGACCATATCTTAGACGTTCCGTAGCAACCATACGCTCATCTGTCGTAAGAAACCAAGCTGAGATTGGGGAATCTGGTACGAAGAAACAACAAATTCCGAAAAGGAAAGTAAGAGAACCGGCAAGCAAATAAATGTACTGCCATCTTTTAAGATCTCCACCATCGATTTGTCCAAATCCATAATTCAGTGCACCTCCAATAATGGTAAAAGCCCCAGTTGAGGAAAACCACCAACTCTGTCTCAAAGATTGTTCGGATTGTGTGTAAAAGGAACTGATTATACACATGAATCCAGTTGGGATGATACTTTCGACAAAACCAAGGAAGAACCTTTGTGCATATAGACCGCGCCAATTTGTTACAGCAGCTGTGCACATGCAGATCAAGGCCCACAAGCATACCACGATTCCTATGATCCTACCCATATTAAATCTTTGCAATGCAAATGACATTGGGTATAAACCCGCCAACATGCCAAAGTAAAAAAGCGATGTTGCCCAACTAAGACGAGAGGTATCTGTAGTATGAGGGGTCACATTGGTATTGGTGATGGATAGAGATAGATCAGTCGTCATGCCAAAGAGGACTGCGGATCCTAAAATTGCCTGAGAATTGTTAAGTTTGGAATTGATATAAACAATGAAAAAGCTGTATCCTACCTTATCATAATAAACAAGCCCATATCCAATGAACATCGCAGGGACCAAATATCGATCTATCTTTCGAACGACTCGAGCTTCTACCACGGGGTCAATTTCATGACGATGCTCTCCCACCACAGCGATAGCGATATCTTTGTCCTGGTCGGCAGATGGTAAAGTAGGGCCATCTTGAATTCTTGGAGGCTCTGACGATACCTGCTTCTCCTCCGCAGCTCCAGCTTCAATGGGAGAATTCATTGCGTGTATAGTGAATGGCACATTGATGAAGCTTGAAAATATTTTGATACCTGGGTGAATAGAGCCGAGTCTAACCTAAACTAACCTGAACCCTACATGACGGGATTGTTGAGGGATGGCCCGCAGCTTGGGATCTAGTCTGGAATCATCATGGCTTGTGAAGGGAAGACCTTTGGTATGATATCCCAGAATTCAGTAACAACTGAGTATTCGGTTTGAGTTTGAGCTTGGTATGACTGAGGGCGACGAGTACCCAGTAGTTGAATAACGAACCCACGATATTGTATCGGTGTTGTGTCAAAGTAACTCCACCCAAGTACTGCATTTCGAATTACCTTGTGGAAAAGATGCTAAGCGTTTCACTGGCAACTCATCGATTCGACCATCAAGATCAATGACAGATGAGGATATAATGATGCCATTCACCGAGATGCTCGAATTGGTATCGTGATAAAAGCTTCAAATACCAAGGCTGGTGGAGTAAATTCTAAGTTTTATAGACCCAAATAAATTGATGTCGTCGTGATTGAGTTCTATCATAGCTTCAGATACTTTCCGTCCCACTGTAGGTCTAGGCCTGACTAGCCAGCCTTGCGATATCGAGGGAAAAAAAAATATGTAACATTGGAATGTTTTTGTGTAACATTAGCCACACCAATTGAAAGACATGATTTCAATACGGCGAGCAGTTGATAAGACTGCGCCATTAATAAGAACTTCAACATTTCCCACAAGAAACAATACTATCATCCGATCATTAACGACGACAACCCCTCCAAATCCTCGCAGGCAATGGCGTGAAGAGACAAGGCAACCTCGAACGAGAGTGAACCTCCGACACTTTTCCAATTCAACCAATACCTCCCCAGCCCTCACGCTACACAATCAAACCGTCGAGAAAATCTCCGCGAATGTACGTCAATTCTACGATCGAAAAGAGAAATTCCGTATCAACCATGGTTCCACGAACAGCACACGAAATAATGCCAAAGGCAAGAACATAATCAACATTGGCGGGTTATCGCATGTATTGGAAGTCAATCCCACAACGCAGACAGCATGGGTGGAACCAAATGTGCCAATGGATAGATTGGTAGAGGAGACATTAAAATATGGGCTTGTGCCGCCGGTAGTCATGGAATTTCCGGGTATTACTGCTGGAGGAGGATATGCGGGGACATCGGGTGAAAGCAGTTCTTTTCGACATGGTTTCTTCAATGAGACTATCAATCGGGTTGAGATGATTTTGGCAGATGGTCAGGTCATCCAATGTTCGAAGACTGAGAAGCCTGATTTATTTCATGGCGCAGCGGGAGCAGTCGGAAGTATGGGAGTCACGACGTTGGTAGAGTTGCAATTACAAAAGGCTAGGAAATATGTTGAGACTACATATCATCCGGTTTTTGATATGCCAGATGCAATCAAGAAGATTGAAGAGATGACTGCGGATCCAACGATCGATTATGTGGACGGAATTATGTTTTCGAAGACGAAAGGTGCTATTATTACTGGTCGTCTGACAGATACCCCAACGGAGAATACTCCAGTACAACGATTCAGTAGTGCTTCAGATCCTTGGTTCTATATGCATGTAGAATCTAGTATCGACAACAGCCAGTCCTCCCCCAGATTCGCCATACCTCTCGCGGAATACTTCTTTCGATATGATCGTGGAGCATTCTGGGTCGGTGCTTCAGCCTTCAAATACTTCTCATTTCCATTCAACAAATTCACACGTTGGTTCCTAGACGACTTTCTACATACACGCATGCTTTATACTGCACTGCACACCGCCGGAATGCCATCCGGGTACATCGTTCAAGATCTCGCACTACCATATTCCACCGCCACAGAATTTGTAGACTACACCGACGAATATTTCGGTATCTATCCCTTATGGCTCTGCCCCCTAAAGCAAAGCCCTATGCCAACCATGCACCCCCACTCCGCCTCCTACGAAACCGACGGTAAAAGTCTCAAGCCGCTTATGAACATCGGTCTCTGGGGCTACGGGAAAGAAAAAGATCTAGTAAAAGCCAACATCAGTCTCGAGAAAAAACTCAAAGAGCTCGGGGGTATGAAATGGTTATACGCACAAACCTACTACAACGAAGAACAGTTTTGGGAAATGTACGATCGCAAATGGTACGATGGATTGAGGGAGAGATATGGAGCAACCACCTTACCAAGTGTTTATGAGAAAGTCAAAGCGGCGCCAAAAACGGAGGTGGCGAAGACGCTGAGCATTTCGGAAAAGATACTGAAAGCGTGGCCTATTAGTGGATTCCATGGAATTTATAAGGCGATTCAAAGTAAAACTTATTTAGCGGCAAGGGCTTCGGCATGGAAGACTCTTGATGTCGTGGTGAATAAAGAGAAGGAATCTCGTTAATCGTGATTTGAGCCTCCGGCTAACTGCCAATGTGTGTCATCGCGACAGAAGGGTATCTACCCTCGGGGTCCAGCGGAAACTGTACATATATACTACATTCCAAAAAAACAGACGATGTACAATACAGCATATATGTAATTACACAGGTAAAATGTTGAAGGTCATTTGGATTAGAAAAGAGCTTGGATTTTTCATCGCATGCGCATGCGCATGTACAGCGGATTGTATACTTAAACATCTCCAATTTCAGTACGCAGCCAAATGCGAAGAAAACTCACAATAATAAGTACCAGACTGGCATTATCTCGAACACCTATCGAGTTATGTCCTCTACAAACTTTCCGCATTGTTTTGCTTTTTCAAAACCGCATCCATCCCGCAAAACCAATCACAACACATCACCCCTCACCCCCCGGCCCCCTTTAAAATCACCACCGGCTCCCCTAATCTCTTCCAGAGAACCTTACAAGCATCCATACTCGTGATAATATAAATCGACGCATTCCAAAACCCCTGCAGCGGTAACACAAATACAGAAACATATTGCAGAGACATGTTAACCATGCCCGGGTACAAAATGGAATAGATGCGATTTGCAGTCGATGGAATCCACGTGATCATCATAGCGAGGAAGAACAGTAGCGAGACTTTTGCATAGGCCCACATAGCCGCGTTGGCTTGTTTATTGGGATGCACACTTGTACAAGATGGTTGGACAGGAGGTAATCCCGGTCTAGAGGGTTTATCGGAGGGGGTTCTTCGGCGGAGTTGGTGGTTGGGAGGAGCTCGGTCTGAGAGCTTCTGGACTTTTCTCTACGTGCTTTGGGTAGGGTGTCAGGTGATATGCGTTCATTTGCTCTCACAAGCTCTCGTCGCTTGTCGAAGATTTTCTTTCCCGCGAAGGTATAGATCATGACTGTGATTAATATGGTGATCCTTCAAATACCTAGTCAACCAAGGATTCCACGATGGTGAAAGGTGTAAACATACCAAACTGGTACGTAAAAACTCCAGAGTCTCCACCAACCCCATTTTGTCTTGATCCAGCACCATGATACAGCACTTCCATATATATACCCGCGTGTTCTTGTATGTACAAAGAAAAATACGAATGCGGGAATGAATGGTAGACCATAGCATAGCAGTATGTACCATTTCTCCAATTGGCGGAGCTCTACCACATCGAAGTGAAAGAAAAATGCACACATGACGCTACATGCCATAGCCAATGTCCAATATGCATCGGCTGGGAGGAACCTTTCATCCGTTAGAAAACAATTCTAGGGATTGCGCTGTGAAGACTGGAAAGGAGGTACATCTGAATGAGAAAAGCCTGGAATTGACAAAACCGACCATCTGGATCTGCAAGTGCAGAGCGAGAAATAAGCGTAGCGAGATTGGTGAAAATATTACCCAGAGAAGCGTAGAAAACCAATCGATTAATGGGTTTACGAAATGCAGTGGTGGTAAGAAAGGTAATGATTATGAAGAAACAACCTAGGAGAGAAATTCCAGAACATGTTCGTTCTATGGCGACAATGTTGGAGAATTCGTGGCTGGTGATGTTTTCTGCTGCTTTCATCTTATGGATGCTTTAACGGAGGTGGTGGAAGATCGGTAGCGAATTGATAGGTTGTGTAGATGAAGTAACAATAACGGAAAAAGAGAATGGTGATGCTTAGGTATAGGGCGAATTTGCAATCTATGGAAATGAGAAGGAGGGGACTTTGGGGATTCATAGGTAAGGAATAATTATGTATTGATTGACAATCTGGGTGTTGAAAATGCATATACGTCGTGAGAAGATGGGTTCATATCGACATGCTCTGTATTCATGGACGTGGAAAGCACTTTGTGAAGAATTTATCAGATATACTGCATAGCAGCTTCCTCGCACTGTGAGATGTGTAGATTGACATTGAAGAATCGTACGACATGGCTATATGACGATGGTCAGAATCAGACGGATGTGTTGCAAGCAATCGACACTAAGTTCGCAAGGCCTAAATGACAATGAAGATGACTGGAATTATTTAGGAAAGAAACAACGAGACAATAAATTAATATGTGAGATCGTAGAAGGGCACATTAGAACTCTTCACTTTTCGACATTTACAATCGATAAAAAGGGAAGGAGCGCTAGGCTCCGCGACTCGGGAGAATCGAGACGAAAATACTGTGAATTCAAAATCACTGCGACTGTAGCAATTCTCATTGTTGATCCAACAGTATTCTAAGACCTCGTAGATTCGTTCCTTTTGAGTCAAGGTAACCTTCCAATGGCTGGTTATAATGCCTGAAAATCAGTTCGTCAAATGCCCCGAAAGAGTGTTCCGAATTTGAAACCATAACAATTCCTTTATGCACTCTGGGAGCCTGGAACATTTCCAACTCTATGGCCATAGAAAATCGCTTGATATTGGGAGGGTTAAGATGACGGCCTTAGATTTACCTTGTTCAGATCCTTTCACCTAACCGACTTTCGCTAATCTGGGGTGCCTAGTACTCATGTGGGCTTAAGGGTATCTAAGGACCTGCCTCTTATCTTTTGAGGCCTGGAGTATCTCTAGGGTATATTTTTCAAGAGCGACAAATTAGGCAGAAAATGTTTCTCGCAATACAAAAGTAAGGGGAGTATCTGATTCTAGCGACATCTCTTTTCGTTTCATACACTCATCATATCATCATCATTGAACATATTTGCGTTACAGAAGCTTGCAATTACCTCATCACACCAAATTTCAAATCTTCCCTTCTTTACTTATTAAATTAATAATAATGCCAACTTCACGGTCCCAAGATGCTCTCAAATCAGCCCGTTAGAATGATCGGCTCAATAAGATTAGAAGCACAGAAACCGAAGTCGATCCACCTAAACTTGACAATAAAAAGAAACAGAATACAAAACGTATATCTGGTGAAATAATAGGCGAACGGCTTCCTCTGCCCAAATGGGCTACGGGCTTTAAGCTTCATAAAAAGTCTAGAATATATTTAATGTTGAGTGCAATTGACGACGAAGACGAATTCGATGTAATTTGGAAACCCTTCCAACCAACTATTGGGGATGCCAGCATGCCTACCATAGGATACACGAAAACGCATGCCATAATAAATGATGATCGCAAACTATGTAGTCGATTGTCACATGTGAAAATCTTATTCTATCAGCCTTATAAGCTCAATAGCTATCCAATGTGAATGTTTTAGGCAAGGGATGTTTGCATTTGGTTGAATGAATGAATGGTGAGATTGCTACTCTATTGCACGATGAGTCGAAAAGCAGGTTTGACATGATCATAGAAACACCCCGATATTATGATGTCAGTCATGATAATTGGTGATCACTCAACGCTATGTTAAGGAAGCAATTTTCTTGAACAGGATATATATCATTTTAAAATAAGATATCAAATGCACAGGGTGATATTTATTCACGTAGCTTTGAAGAGGGTTCTACTTGCTATTGCGGACCATCGTCATTAGCAAAATCAGGTGTGCTCGCTTCTTACTCAAAAGACAAGGATTATGGCACAGAGGTCTTATCCTCCTGCTTATGGCGGTTCTAAATTCAAATCAGATATACTTGGATGTATCCAAAATCCCGAAGGCAAAGACTATAAGGTTTCGAAAATTACCTGGGGATTGGAAGATACTCTCTGGCTCTCTGTTTCGTTACAGAAATGGCGTGGAGACGACCATTTACTTTCTCAAGTAGCAGTGCTGTGTCTTTCACTGGATTGAAAGACAGATAAACTGCCCCACTGTGAGGTAATTCGGTGATAACGACATTTTAAAGACCTAAAGCAGGAAATGCTGACACGAGTTTAGAAACCCACACAAGGAGATGGTGAAAATCCACGGATTAGATGAAACTGATGAAAAAGGAACAGCCTGAAAGACCCTTTTAATCCAATTCATTCGAGCTCCATCATACCACCAAGATATATTTCGGCAAATTTGTGGAGTGGATTTACATTATATATAAAAGCTTCGTGATACATACGGGACTGAGCATGATCGTTTTGTCGAGGGAATCTGATTCTGTTAATCCAAGTATAGTAGACTACGAAAAGAGCTCCAGGTGACCATGGAATGTCTTACAGGTCTTTGGTCATTTGCATATTACGTTCAGGTTCCTGGATTTTGAAGTATCGCCATTGGTTCTTTGGAATATCATAGAAAACTGTTGAGTCGACTGAGTTTAAACAGCTCCAAGAATTGACTGCCCTTGTTCGTCGACTCATAAATGATGATAGCAAGCTTCGCAGATGGCCTGTCAGCTCTTTGGTAGCTGCTGTTGAGATGGACTACCTGTTCATCCATCAAGGCCTAAACCGATCTTACATAGAAATGCAAAAATATCATGTCGCTTATTCTGTAGCTGGTGATTTAATAGTCGACAAGGTTACAATGAGCAATCGAGCAGCGATGATGCAATTTTATGTCGAAGATTCGGTAATGCCAGAGCCGGTAGTTGAGGGCGGATAGTGGTGCTATGGAAGAAGTTTTTGAGATTCGTTGAATAGAGGTCATAGAGGAGGAGGTTCGCTTGTTTCTCTACTTAGAGCATCCTAGTAGTCAGTAAAGGGAATTTTGCAGATCTTTGATTGAGCCTGACTTACTGGGCATATTTACTTTGCAAAAATGCAACAATTATCTACCAAAGAACAACATTGTCAGCCTCGAGATATGCTACAGGATGAGAGATCAGACGAGAGACAAATAGGAGTCAATGCAACTCGGATCTAATATTCTAAAATCTCCGCTGCTAATTAAAATCTGTTCAATAATTCACCATGTATACAGCCTTCTATGTATGACAGTTCGTCAAGCTATTTAATTTTTCAACCTTTGATAGAGTTTCCCTTCCCTCCAAGCTTTGTACAACTCTTTTTCTATTACCACTTTGTGGAATATTTTAATCACTACTTTCTTTAACATCAAAATATTCACCTATATCAGTCACTCTCAGTAGCTCAATATAGAGGTCGTTTTTGTGTTTTTAGATCTTGTTTCTGCTGCGACGCGATTTGCTAAGCATTTACTTCAACCTCTCGAATCTTTTCAACCTTTTCAACCTTCCTTCTTCTATCACAACATACATCACTCGTGTTACATAGTATCAAGCTCTTGCTTGTTTGGTAAGCATATGAATAATCTTTGACGTCCCTTTCATCATCTCATCGGCGTCTCTAACTCGGCTTATCCTCTTTCAGACTGACGTTACGCACTTCTCTCTCAAACTCCTCGATCAAACGCTCAAGCAAGACTCCAAATCTCAATTGTGCCTTGCCTGCCGTCTATTAGTATGTCTGATCCATTTTCTAGTCCTTGTTAACCCTCTTCTCACCTCGCTGGCGCCGCTTGTCGAAATCTTCCTCCTCCAGATCGTTTTGAAGACCCTTCTTCTCGATTTACTACACCGAAAGCGCCAGATTATCTCTCTCAGACTCATAAGCTACTCCAGATAGCTTGGAATTACCTCTTATCTATTATTTAGTTCCAGTCAACTCGACTAATCTCGCTTTAGAAATACTTGCTGCGCCATTAGATCCCCTCGGTAATCGAAACTCCCCGTCGTACAACAACTTCCTCACAATTACACCTCTAAACAAATACCTTTTCAAGTATGAACAATAACGTCAATAACTGGCAATGGGGCCAGCACGCTGCTCCTGCTCCTTTTGGCGCCTTCTCTGCTAGTCCAAATCGTGGCCAGCATGGTGCTAACTTCGACCGAAACGCTGTAATCGGACCTTATCGTTCGTACAATCTTGTCGTTCGGGATTATCTCGTTGGCAACTTGTCCACATCACACTCACCTCCTGTTTACAGAGGAACTCCCTATGAACATAGGGCTACCTCTTCCAACCTGATCGGGGTAGCTAGCGGTCTAACTGTCTATCCTGCTCTTGATACCGTTGCTGCTAACGCAACTAATACTAATGAAGCTGTGCGAGCACTAAGCCGTCTGCGTCTTGATGCGGCTAACCGTCATCAAGGTCCTACTTGGGAGTAAGCATCACCTTTTTCTTTACTATATCTACCCTTACTATTTATAATATTGATGCTGACTACTATAAAACAGAGACGCGCCAATGGATATGATCACTATCTATATCAAGGGAGAGGATGGTTCAATAGACGGTCCTCCTTTTAACCTCCACAAGTCCTTCTTCACACACCTCTCACCATACTTCGACGCTGTCTTCAACTCTACTTTTGCCGAATCTGCCACGCAGACTCTCCACTTCGCTGAGTCTAATCGAGAGATCTTTGCTATGCTTATCGACTGGGTATACAAGAAGCAGCTAAGCACTCTTGCCGCCTTTGAGCTAGATGATCGCAAGAATCTTCCTGTCGGTATTGGCTTAAGCACCCTTCAGGGAAGCGACCTTGACAATTACATCAGCAAATCGCAAGATACCGCCTTCAAACACACCACCAAGCTTATCGATCTCTGGTTCCTTGCCGACAAGGTCTTAATACCGGAGCTACAAAATGCTGCTATCCAGGCTATTGAGCTTCTCCGCTTCTTCACTCCATTGCAGGGAGTTCCTGCAGAGATCTCGCGTGCCGTCTACGATAAGACACCAAAAGATTCTCCACTTCGCAAGTACCTTGCGTATACTACACTCCGTCGACTACATCCTCAGTCTGAAGACAAGGGCGAGGACTTCCACCCTGACATGCTTGTGGATATCTTTGATATCGTCAAGGTAGCTGGATCTGATGCGAAGTTACGTCATTACGGTTTATCCGAGAAGGCTATGGAGTCGTTCTTGGTGGAAGTAAAGGGGGGAAGCCACCTAAAGGCTAATCCTAACACCGTTGCGCCTCTTGCTGACGACATTTGGGTTAGTTTGTGGGAGGTTAGAAGAAATGCTTTGAAGTTCTAGACAGATTTCAAGCAGATTGGGGCAATTTTGGGAGTAATTTTGGTACATTTGGATTCTTTTAGAGGTACCTTTATTGGAAGAGAAATAGATAAATTAGATAATAGCTTGCCCAACACTAATCCACACCTTTTTGACCGCTGCAAGCTAGTACTATAATGCATTGAAATGAGGGCGATAAGCTATTCTTTGATAATTATTTTATGGAATTAGATCATGGTGATAGAGTGGACTGAATGAATTAGACTCACTTACAATGATTATTCAACCCATCACCGATGTGAAATGTACACCTCTGGGAAATTTAGACATAACTTAGCACCAAAATGAGCCAAAATGAGTCAAATTTAAGATGGAACTACGTGACTTGGAGCAATTAATCACCATTTGACTCTAATTGGCTCATTGAATGAAGATATCAGTACTGAACTTGGAGAGATTGGCCTCAAAATGGCTCGAGATGTCCACCAAATGAAGCCGAAATGATGAATATACAGGCTGATTCTGAGTTCAGTTTGAGTAACTTGTTACAAAACTTGTCATTTTTATGGCAAAATACCTTCATTCTGGTGAAGAGTGCACGTGTTTTCAAAGAGATTTTTATCGAAATGACCTATAATTACAGCAGGTCGACGCGTAGGTATAGAGCCTGAAGCCTATAACTGTCAGAGTACGTGCAAAGACTTATATTGTACCATAAGGGTAGAAGAGCTATGGAAGAGAGAGGCCCTACTTATAAGAAGTAGAGCACACTAATGATCAATGCCTGAGGCACGAAGACAACTACTGAGCATGTAGTTGGCGCCGTGACAATAGCTTTAGGCTTACTTGCCATATATTTGGGAATAGTGCCTATACTTACAGGTCTCAAGATGAGCTTTCATCCACCATTTCGGCATCTTTAATTCATCAAAAAGTTTGGACGGGATTGTTATCGAGTGTTCGTACTTAGGACCAAGTTCTCGGTACCAATGTCTGATCTTTCAATTTTGAATCAGTTTGGTGTCTACGATGGAGATTAATGCTTAAAAGTGTCAATATGACACTTTCATGATATGAGATAAAAGTCTCCCAATGCTTGTGATCTGGGACTATACTAGAGAGCCCTTGTCTGCTTCTCTCAACATGAGTATCTTCAAGTCTTTGTATGATAACAGACGGTTTGGGCATGCCATTATAGCATTCCAAGAATATAAAACACATTTTCTTTAATATTTACCACTGACTGTTTATCCTACGACTATTGCCAAATCTTTAGGAGATAATATCTTGATTCGTCAAGTTAAATTCAAAATTTGCACTAGCCGGCGATAGGAGTTTTAGTCTCTTGTGGAAGACACGTTCAATTGTTTACTATTCAGCCAAGCAACAAGAGATTACTAGTTAGTCATTATATTTAACATTTGTCGTATATACATTGAATACTCCTGATATTCTAGGTTTACATCTCACGCTCATTAGACTAACCCGCGCTTAAGTAAAGAAAAGATGGAGTCCATTTGGTTATATACTATAGAATAATAGCGGATATATGATTAGTATTGAGATAGAATTCATATGATTGATAAAATAGTGGTAGAAATATCAGTCGAGAGTCGCTCAGATAATTGCGATTCGCGTATGTGTTAGCGTACTATTATTTCGTCTTTAACACGAAGATAGTCCCTTAATTAGATCACATCACATCATTTAGTCCGTGAATTTTAACAAATTCGACGCGATTTGGATAAATTTCTGAGGAAAACTGATATTTGAGATCACAGTTGACTACAACTTATGATGAGTATAGTTCAGAAGTATCAGTTGAGGTCGAAGACTTCCGAAATTGTAAGTTTATAATCGCAGCAATATAAGACGAGAGTTCCTTTGATGTAGAGGACTTTAACAGACAATGAATTGTTATAATAAAATGGTTGGTCATGACCATATAGATATACAATCCCTAATTATGTATTCTATGATCTTTTTCTCGCAATTTTGGAATCTTCGTATGATAGTAAGCTCATCGGTTGTAACAGTAAAGGACAATTCTATACTCGCACTTGATTAATCCAAGTAACAGTATTCAGATGGCACAATCAAAGTCATACAAATCTGAAATTTTCTCTTTGTCATTTTGAGGAGTTCAAAGAAAGGTCAAGCCAGTAGTCAAGACTCGTAATATGTCTAAGAGAATACTATCTGACATTTTAAAGGAAAGTAATCATGATGTGAAAACAGGGAATGAAAGTACATCCGTTTGTTTGCCGTTCTCATGAGGAAAATAATAACAATATTCAGATGTGATTGCCAGCTGCAATAAATAGTCTTTTCTGACGACTTAAGCACCGAGCACTCTAAGATTACAGTTTATATAGACGTCTGGAGTTCTAATACCCTGAGGAACTAGCTAAGAGCAACTCAACTGCTTGGAGAATAGATTTTGTTGAAGTAACTACTATAAGAAGATAGACAGGATAATAAATCACATATCAAGGCCTGACTTGAACATAGTTCAATAGCCAAATTTACGATTTTCATCAAGTCAATGATTTACTCGATAGAATTGAAGGTCAAGGATAATTTTGAGATGACAATGAAAATGAACTCGGACTGCATTTGTCGTATAATTTTCTAATGCCAATACATTTACGACACCTACTTTTGATTTGAACAGAGACCTTGATACCGCTCTGAGATCCCTTAAACAATTTAACAAGTGTTCCTTGAAGTTTCGTATGATACACAAGAAGAATCTCAAGTCGCATTCACGCCAACAATACCCTTGTTCAAGATAGCAGGCAGAATTTCACTTCGAGCCTGAAGATATCAGTGGAATCAGAGATTGACCGCTTGATTTAGCTTGCGTTTTGTCTAGTGCACTTGCGTAGACACTGGAAATTTTGAGATTTGTTGGGAAAAATCCATTTTCTAAGCATCTTCCTTGACGCGTTTGGCCCTTAAAACAGTGGGATTTGTCTGTGAACTAAGGATTTTGGTCGAGGTTTTCAATACATGCAAGTTTGGTAGAAATAGAGTGAATATGCTAATGTGTTCAACTCGAAAATAAAACGCGCATAGTCTCAAGCAGTGATAGCTGTGAATTATTTACCTAGCAAAGGCAGCAGTATCACAAAGAAAGTGAGATTTTACGGTGCAGGCTTCCGCTTTCTTCTAGAAGAAGGATAATTGTATATTGCCGCCAGTTTCCTATGGCAGATGTCAATTAAGTCTACTGAATATTTTCATTGAATGCCACTGCACGAAGCAGAATGAAATCTACCGTGGTTCTTGCCTTAGACAATTCATATCGTGGTCTCCCTAGCCTACCTAAGAATGCACAAATGTGGACAATTGTCATAAATTCCCTGAACTATGGGTACGCTTAAAACTTTGCCGTCACTGGCTCCAAAGAGATCATTTATTCCAGATCTGAACATGCGGAGTTAAGAGCTGCTCTGGCGTTGACAAGACTTGGTTCATACACGAACTCAATGGAGGTCGATGGACGTGTCACATTCATTGCCGATTCACTTTGCGTGACGCTTCGAAGATTCATCCTTGGCGAAAGCCGTAGGATGCAGGGTGCGACCATACCCGTTCATATCGCAATCAAGTTTGGCGATAGCCCATTCTTCGATATGAAAACCGCTTTCGATGTTGAAGTCGAGAACGTTCCTCTATTCTTGCGCCCAGGACCTTCCACAAATCAGTCGTTACATGACTTTATTGATATGGCGACATCTTCCTTGAATATTGCAATGCCCTCCTCCAAGTCTCTTCTTAGAACGGAGCCCATTGATGAAGACTCCGACCTCTCCAATGATAGGGTTGGACCCAGATCTCTTTCTACCATTTCCCTTGATAAAGAAGCATACCATTCAGTATCCTCTGATTCCCCACTTTTTGACGCCTGTGCTACGGCTAATTCACGTTGCGATGTAAGATATGGTATTGGAAAAGATGATACAATTGTCCAAGCACTCTTACATGCGGGCAGAGGAGGAAGTGCGGTTTCAACAGCACTCGTAATTGCTCACGATGCGTCAAAAGAGATCTGTACGTCTTTGCGGGAGAAAGAGATCCTCGTGACATTGCTTGGACATCGCGTTACAGACAACGACCCTCAGATGGAACTTGGAGGGTTCAGGTATTCCAGTACTGGAAAATACGAATTCGACGAGCATTATGATGTGGCCTATATTGACATACCAAGCTCGAAGGAGTTGACGGTAGACACGCATCAGAAGTGCAAGTTAGCCGCCTATTTGCGCGATTCTGGCAGGGTCAAAGGATCAATCATGATATCAGTGGGTTCCATGCCCGCCGAAAAGGACAAGTGTGACATCCTAAATATCTATGGTCATACCGGAACTAGTACAGATACTATATTTCGTCTTCGGAGCAGCTTTGATGACTCTCTCTATAGTGAGGAACCTTTCAAATGTTTGATAATGGGCACTATCGACGTTGCGAAGGGTGAAATCTTGAGACGATTTACTTTGCCTTGCCATCCTATCTTTACAAGCTTTCTGGACGAGCTCACTCCTGGTTTGTTTTTCTGCGAGGAAAATCAATGGAATCATGTGTTACTGGGTCAATCATACCTTCTCGCTAATGGCCTTTGGTCTTCATTTGAGCATGTGTTACTTGCAGAAAATCCCTTGCAGTGTTATGCTGCTCTTAAAATCGACACTCCATCTCAATTTTCCACTAGTTTGGAACAATATTTCATGTCTACCTCGGTAGATCATATCGATGTTTCACCATCATTATTCTTTTCCCACAAACCTCGCTTCATTGAAATGATGAGCGCACGATAGGACGAATTGAAGGTGTTTTGTCACGATACTACCACTGATGCGCCCGAAACGATAACCTCCCTATTATTCAGCCCTGCGGCAACTACCCTACTGCAAAGCCTGATGGGTTTTCGGAACTCTTTAAACGAGTTTGATCCTTACGATGAAAAGAGAGGTTATCATAGAGTGGTTCCCTTTGAGGCCATGGCAATACTTTACTCTATTCCGTTTTTTTATCATTCACATGTACATGTACGCTCGCCAAAAATTCATTGGTAACTCTACCAGCGTCTGGGAGCTTCAGAATTCCTTTGTAGGCTAACAGCATTTGGAACGTGGGAAGAAAAGCGATTGTACATGACACTGAAGTTCGGGAAGCTTCTCCACGGAACAGCTGATGAAGAGGAAATATGAAAAGGACAACAAGATTATCGAGGATTCCGATATTCGTTACCTGTATAGTTAAAACTCTGAAGGGAGAAAGAAAGGGAACGGGACGAATAGCGGACGAGAACTGTGCTTGTACTTGAATAGTGATGGTGCTACATAATGTATTACCAACACAAGGCACGACTTGGAGGCGCCTTGCTGAATCAACAGTATCATTAATCGTCTGTTTTATTCTATACCTATTGCTTACCTAGGTGCAGTACAGTACAGTACATACAATACAATACGGCCTGTCGATATACTTACTGTCATCTCAAGGAGAAGCAAGATTCTAGTCGAACTCAATATGTGAGACAAGTTGTTTCCTGGCATTCCAAACATGCTCCTCCACTTAAAGCTTCTTTTCTTGCGACTTAATTCCCACTACGACAGGCATTGAAGTGAACATCGATGGCCATTCCAAATCCACCAGATCTTGCTTGCCATTGCGACAGTATCGCAGCCAAATTGACCAGGTGATATTATTGTACGCAGCTATTCCTGTCAAAATATGCCTGTGTACCTACATTAGCTTTCTCTTCCCGGATATTGAAACTAATAAAAATTAAAAGACTCACCACCATCCATGGCCCTCCAGGAGAATACCCCACGGTAATCCCACTTCTCTTCTCCATCTTCTAATCGTCCCACAATAAATGTTGTCCAAATTCCATATGAAAAATGCGAGAGCTACATAAGTTAATCCTATAAAATTCAACTTCCACATCTGGCCCAAGATTTTGCTATCTCTCTCGTCTCTTCTTTTTTGCTCCATTGTAGTGACCTTTTCGTCTTTAACGCGACGCTTTGGATTAAGTATATGTACCATTATCCACATACTTCGGAATACCACAATGGCGGTGAGCAGTGCAAACATGTTTTGATGAAAGACTGGGTCTTGAAGGTAATGATAGTATAGAGTAATAAATATCGCAAGCGCAGAAATCGAGAAAGCGAGCACGAAACGCGACAAAGGGGATTTCTGGTGTGCAAAAACGGAGTAGGCTAGGATGCACTCTAGATAAATCATGGCCAGTTCGTCCACAAGTTGCATGGGGTCTAGAAGCTGTTAACTTCTTCCGTTTATTTTAGGAAGGAAAAGAAGGATATTGACGAACAAATCAACGTAGAATGGAATAGCATGCTTCCGACTCCAATAACCAGATAACTGAGGAAGGCAACAAGGAAGACGCGGTCATGGCCATATCTAATACAGCTAGAAATTCCCTTCCAAGCCAAAATCACAAACATCAAATTGGTAATCGTATTCACAATCTCAGCCGAATAGATTGTAGCATAGTAGTCCTGAACGGGATGTTAGTAGTGAGTAGGGAAATTAGAGAGAATGAAAGGCATCACGTGCTTCTTCACACCAATTGATGGTTGAGGTTACGGGGCCCCAGTATCCTGGGCCAGAGGAAGGGTAGGGCGTCGATGGTAGCATGTTGAAAATGCTTGTTTGGCGTTAAAATGATGCCGTTGTTGTTCCCTGAGGTTATAGATAGGTCTATAAAGATTCCAGGAAGATAGGAGAATTATGATAGTTCGACGGATTGAAAGATTAGTAATATGGCATCATGAGAAACAAGATTTCTTTTAGTCCTTTCTCATCAATAACACCAATGCAGAATGCGGACCAGAAAATAGATATTCACTTTGCAATCTACGACATGTGGCCTTTCGACAAGTGAAAATTTCACCGTCGAGCATAAGATTTGTGGTAAATCACATGATGTTGTGCAGGATAAATAGTTGACTTTGCCGAACCTCGGATGAGAGGTTCCGTGCTTCATCACCTTTCATACTATGCAGGACATTTACCTTTTTCACTCCCCCCTTTTCTACCGGATTCAAAAAGGTCTTTGCCTCTCTCCAAATGCAGTTAAATCGTCTGATTTCTTTTGCAGTCTCATCTTTTCTAGTTCTTCCATTTAGTCATTCTAGATGCGACGGTGTTTCAACCCCAGGATAATGAATGGCAAGGTACAGAGATTGAAGTGTCCACCCAGAGATCCACTTTCATCTACGGAACCAGCTACGATTGAACGTTTCGAAACATTTTAATGGGATCGCTCGTGGTGACGCGTGCTGTCCACGCTATCATTAGATATGGAAATGATGGACGGCGACGACGATAAGGTGATGCGCACATGGCTTGAAGCGCGTTTGTTAGAAGATCTAAGGGGCAAAAATATATAATTGAGGGGAAGAGCTTGTCTTTAGTTTTTCTGTCTGTGGTCTGTATTTCGCGTGTTGGAGCTTTCCGAGGAATTGTAATATTTTTAATTGCTGGGCAAGATTTATTCGACATATTGGCGATCAATGCGTACAGTTGATAAATAGAGACACCCAGAATTCAGGCTGTGAGCTCAATACATCGCCATCATGAACAATGAAGGAACAATTGCACTTATTCCTCATCCCAGTGATGACCCACGAGATCCATTGGTAGATACTTCCCCCTACTATTCAACAAATCACGATGTTAACAATTACTAGAATTGGCCCATGAGGAGGAAAGTGCCCATCGTTGCTGCCTTATGTCTCGCGACCTTCGCCGGTTGTGCGGGTGGCCTTGCTGGTCAGTTAATCCCAGCACCACAAGCAAAATTGTATGGTGTTGAGATTACGAAGATGGCTTATCAGGTACGCAGACATGTTCCAGCAAGATCTTCGTACAGTTGAAGTTTAATTGACACAAAGCGAACTTAGACATCTTGTTCCAATGCTGGCATGATAGCAGGATCTTTGATCCTCTTTCCATTATCTCACAAATTCGGTCGTTCATCAGTAATCTTCTGGTCTACCGTTGGAGTATTCATCACCCAAGTATGGGCAGCATGCATGACAGATTCCACGCAGTACGCCCCATTCCTTGCTTCCAGAGTAATGGCTGGATTCTTTGGAACCATAGCTGGTATACTCGGCCCTCGTATACTTTTTGATCTCTTCTTCTTGCATCAGAGAGGCCGTGTCTTCACCTACTTTTATTGGGCTTTCGATTTCGGCACAGTGGCTGGTCCAACGCTGTCGGCATTCATATCAACAGCTGGGAAGGGATCATGGACCTATGCATTTTGGTGGACAGCAGCGTTGGCAGCTTTAGCAGCAATAATGGTATTTTTGTTCGTGCATGAGACTTCCTGGGACCGATCGGAGGGGGCAGATAATTCAGCAATCGCAACGCCTGATGGATTCATTGCGAGTAAACTTGCGACATTTCTCCCTGGGACAAAAGTCACAAAGCAGGCCAATTTGAAACAGGTCTTGGGGGCTGCAGCCAATCCATTTTTGATCATGGCTAATCCGTCAATGATATTACTGGCAATGTTTACGCTGATTAGTTTTGGTTTCTATGTTGCTATGAATGCAATTACTCCGGTTTGGTTACAGAAGGGCGTGAAAGAGGGAGGTTACGGATTCACCTCCAAGGAAAATGCTCTATGTATGTACCTCCACTTCCCGAGTTTGAATAAAAGGTCATCTAACAATCACCAGTTTCTCTCGGTCACTGGGCAGGAATAATAATAGCCTTGATCTACGGCCACTTTGTCAGTGATCGTCTCCCTCTCTGGATTTGTTCTCGAAATCGCGGTCTTTGGAAGCCCGAATATCGTCTATACGCTCTCATTCTCCCTGCCTTGATTTTCAATCCGATTGGTCTTGGTCTCTTCGGCGCAACTCTCCAAAATCATTGGAGCTGGGGAGTTCTCATCTGGGCACAAATAATGGTGACATTCGGATCTCTATCTATCACCCCGATTACCGCAAACTATGCGTGTGAACTCTTTACGAAAGCTCCTGCTGAGACAGCTATTGTGATGAATAATTATAGAGTTGCATTTGGATTGTCGGTATCGTTTTATATTACGCCTTGGGTTGAGGAGTTAGGGTTTAGATGGACATATGGAATGATGGCATTCTTGCAAGTAGCGAGCTTTATATTTGTGGTGATACTCATGTGGAAGGGACATGAGATTAGAGAGTGGAAAGTTGGAGGTTTGAGTAGTGATGAGGAGGGCCAATGTGTTATGGATAAGGGAGAGAGTATAAGTGAGCGTAGCGTGGGTAGTGAACATCAGTATGTCGAGGGTGAAAAAGGGAGTCATCACGTCTGATTGTATACAATAATGTTTAATCAGTGTCAAATAGTTTTCGGAATGTATTCCAACAATAAAGATTTATCAAATCTACAAATTAGTTAAAACATCCAGATCATTTAAGATACTGAATTTGATTAGAATGTAAAACTATTTTCAGATTTCTAATTGCTTTTAAATATTCAAAATCTTATATTGTTGGACTATAGTTCAACAATTAAGGTTTACCAAATCTCCAAATCTATTAGAACATTCAAATCATTTAGAATATTAAATTTAATTAAAAAATTAAACTCCTGTCAAATTTCCAATTGCTTTTGGACATTCAAACCCTAATATTATTGGACTGCAGTCCGGACTATGAAACACCCTGCTCGGAGTCTTGACTGTTTAGAAGTTAACATCGTGTGAAAATAAAACTAACATTCAGTTATAAAGTACAAGTAAATGATAAAAGAAGAACAGCCACAAAAAGAAACAGACAGGAACGCC